CATCCACCCATCTGGAGGCAAGTGCTCCTCTTCCTCTAGGTAACCCATCAAGCTTTTCTATGAGCTGCCTAAGGAGTCTGGTCCTTTCTTCCAAGTCCTTGACAATCAAGCACGCTTCTAAAGACCATCTGCTTTCCAGGAGGTGCTTACAGAGTGGGAAGTCCAGGTTCAGTGGTGGGACTGCTTGGTACTCTTGCTATTATATTGCTCATTGTTACTTCATGAATTGGTCATTTGGTTAGGTTAGTGTACATCTACCTTTCCTCCCAAAGCAGAAAGGTCTCAACCTAACAAGACTCTGGACTGGGGTGGATTCAGAAAGATGATGCCACCCAGCAAAGTCCAAGACAGCAAGAACAGCCTTCCCCACCTGTCTTTGTTCTTCTAGCTTCAGAAAGGGGGAGGTATAGAATTTAGAACAAAGGAGCTCTCCTCCCCTCACCCTTTTATTGTCTATAGAATCTGGGAGCTGGAGGAACCCCAAAGACCATTCTTAACCTTAGCACACAGACTGCCTCAGATAGGCTTGTATACGTCCAAGTCTAGGAGCCTTGTGCTTATGCTGACCCTACAGACAGTTCTTCAGCAACAGGCTTACAAAGGTACTGTATTGGGGAGTTGCAAGTAAACACAGAGTTTTCTTTTGTCAGAATATTCTGAGGAAAAATCCACTCTATTACTCTTAGACTTTGAAAAAAATCCATGTTAAGAATTATTCTCTCAGTTGCAGGCAGCAATCTGTGTGCTATGTCTTTGCATCAAGGCATAATCTATAACTACCTCTCTATATAGGGTGGCTTTTTTAAAAAGTATGAGGCCTTTCTAAGAAAATTAATTTCTTCCTTGTGTAGGAATTAATGCATTCTTTAGTTAAAATAAACTTGATATTTATTTTACCCTAAATCAGGAGGAAAGTAATTGGCTGGAAATTGATGAGCTGATAGTGATGCCTGTTAACTTACAATTTGGTCATAGTATAAGAAATGAAATTTTAAGGAAAAATAGACCTACTAAATTATTTACTTTTGCATAATGGAGTTCTGAAGTGCACTTAAGAAATTTGGGTGGGAAATGAAGAATGATGTTAAATTGGAATAACAACCAAAATGATAAAGAGATAATTTGTCACTATTTATAAATGGATTGGCTTGATATCTGAACAGTTAAGTGGCCTAGGGCAATTTGTTATTTCCCTTACTATTGCTTTATTTTTCATTTACTTTTACCTCTTAACCCTCTCTGAATGGATCTGAGATAAACCTGGGATTTTCTTAGGGCTCTAAATGCTGTTGGGAAATGTCACCTTTAAAAAACCAGGATAGTCTTGTCAACAGGTCATAAGATTCACAAGACTCTTTGGGTCTCAATATTCAAAGACAAGTATTCCTGTGATTTCGAATACCTTCTTCTCCTGGTAGTTATATAAATAATATTAAAGCCTGGGAGAAGAGCATTGATATGTAAATTTAGACATCTCTGCCCACTCTTTCATTTAGAGATTGTCATTCAAAGATTAGACTCCAGAGCTCTTTAATAAAACTAGATCCAAAAAAATTTTTTCATTTTGTTTTTTGTTTCATTTAGAAACAAAATTACCTAAGAAAAAAAGGAAAAAATTACCTAGAACAACTATTTAAGTAGCTTGCTTTTTGATTTCATGATTGTAACATGATTCCTCACAACCTTCCCAGGAAAACTTTTTCTTTTCCAGAAACTATTTCAGTTTTTCTTCCCTCCCCATTCCTGTTTTAAAACAAAATTTAAAATTTTTGGTGTAATGCATACCTCTGAATGTTTGTATAGACTTTTTGTGATTGATTTGCAGCCTTTAAAAGGCTAAAGGCCATACTCTCCATACTGATAAGGAATTTTATTTGAATATTTGGTTTTTATTTAAATATGCTTAAGATTTTTGAGTAATATAACATTTTACCAACATAACCATAATATGGTTTTTAAAAATAATGTTAGTAAATTTGAATTTAAAAATTACAGATTATGAGTATCTTCTAAATGTATTTTCCATTCAAAGACAAGGTTTTTGTTCCAAAATTAATAATTATTTGACTTCTTTCTTATCCAGTCATTTGTTAAAATGTCAAGATTATAGTGTCGTGAAATTTCATGCACTTTTTAACTTTTTTCCCTACTTTTAACTATCAAAAGTTTTCTTTTATCAGAATATTCTGAGGAAAAATCCACTCCATTACTCCTAGACTTTGAAAAAAATCTCATATTTTCTTCTCTTGACCATAAATTACTTGTTCTTATGCGTGTTTTAAATGGCTATACTGAGTGGATGTGCTGCAACTTGTTTAATCATTTCCCAGGTTCTGAACATTTAAAATGCTCCCACAACTTTTCAAGAGAATGAACACATGGATGATTATGATCAAATTATTTTCCAAATGGAATTTTTCTATTAACAATGTCACCCAAAATCAATATTTGTTTCCACTCTTCTCTACATGAAGATGTTATTTTTTGATGTTTCATTAAGTAGAAAATTGTATCTACTTGTTGTAATCCTCTTTAATTACTACCAAGTGTACCAAATAATTGCAGTCCTTCATCTCTAAATTATTTGTTCATGTCCTCTGCTCACTGAAATATATTGAAGCTGCCTTTTGTTTTACCTAGTTATTCTCTGTGAATTTTAGGTAACCCAAACCTGAGGCCCTGGACCAGGGAACAAAAGGTCACAGAATATAAATCAATTTATAGTTTGACTTAATAGAAAATAAGAAGAAGCGATTTTTAAAATATGCGACGTTTATTATTTGAAATTGGCTGAAAAGACTAAATTCTTTATCCCCAAATGTGAAACATGTTTGCAAAAAAACTTTAACTTGAATTACTATATAATCCAGCTATTCCACTTCTGGCTATTTATCCAAAGAATATAAAAACATGAATTGAAAAGATATATGGACCCCTATGTTCATTACAGCACTCTTTACAATATCAAAGATATGAAAACAACCTAAATAGTCATTGTCAGATGAATAAAGAAGGTGTGCTGTATATACCGAATGGAATACTACTCTGCCATAAAAAAAGAATGAAATCTTGTCATTTGGGACAAAATGGATAGACCTGGAGGATATTATGTTAAGTGAAGTTAAGTCAGACATAGAAAGACAAATAACATGATTTCACTCATATGCGAAATATAAAAACAAACAAAACCAAACTAAAACGGTTCACAGATACAGAGAACAGATTGATGATTACCAAAAGAAAAGTGGGTGGGGAGAAATGGGTAAAGGGAATCACTTACATGGTGATGGGTGGAAACTAGACTTGGTGGTCACAGATGGTGTATACAGATGTGGACCTATAAAGTTGTACACCTGAAACGTATACGACGTTAAAAACCAACGTTACATCAATTTAAAAAAAAAAAATGGAAGGGAGGAGGCTGGGGAAGGAATGAGGTGGGATGTCTTCTTTAAAGAGAAAACGCAGGCGGGCAGTGGAGGGACATTTGGGAGCTAGTTTGCGTGTATGGGGGAGGTAGGTTTGAAGCCTGGTCTTTGGGCCTGCCTGTATCTCAAGGTAAACTTGGGGTGTGGCGTCCACGGTGCTCCTTTGTCGCGACCTGTGTAGCCCGTGGTAACTGCCCCCCAGTCCCCACAGGAGTGCTGGAACACAGGAACGTGTGGGTTTCCAGAGGCCAGCACACAGAGTAAGAGCTCAAAACTGAGCGCTTTATTTGCTGAATAAAAGAATGAACAAAAGGGAGTGTCAAAAGCAGCAGTCACGCCGTAACACTAACAAAATCTTAACTAGCGCGGCGTCTCTTCATAACTTCTCCAAATCCAGACGGCCCCCGGAACCTTTGTCGCGCACTACCGAGGTTGCAACTCGGGAGAGAAGACGGAAGGATTCGGACCTTGACAGGCGGGGATTCAAACCAATGAAAAAGGCAAGATGTGCATACTGCAGCCAATAATAGGAGCATAAGGAAGTAACGCAAGCAGAAGGGTGCCAGGGTCAGTCCGGGACGTTCGGCAAACAGCGAGCTTAAGCAGTTCTGCGTTTGTGAGAATTGTAGGAGGCGAAGATGTCGGAGCGAAAAGTTTTAAACAAATACTATCCCCCTGACTTTGACCCGTCAAAGATCCCCAAGCTCAAGCTCCCCAAAGACCGGCAGTACGTGGTGCGGTTGATGGCCCCCTTCAACATGAGGTGTAAGACGTGCGGAGAATACATCTATAAAGGTAAGAAGTTCAACGCGCGCAAAGAGACGGTGCAGAACGAGGTTTACCTGGGGCTGCCCATCTTCCGCTTCTACATCAAGTGCACGCGTTGCCTGGCAGAGATCACCTTCAAGACAGACCCAGAAAACACAGACTACACCATGGAGCACGGAGCCACACGAAACTTCCAGGCTGAGAAGCTCTTGGAGGAGGAGGAGAAGAGAGTGCAGAAGGAGCGGGAGGACGAGGAGCTGAACAACCCAATGAAGGTGCTGGAGAACCGAACCAAGGACTCCAAGCTGGAAATGGAGGTACTGGAGAACCTGCAGGAGCTCAAGGACCTGAACCAGCGGCAGGCCCACGTGGACTTTGAGGCCATGCTGCGGCAGCACCGCCTGTCCGAGGAGGAGCGACAGAAGCAGGAGCAGGAGGAGGATGAGAGAGAGACGGCGGCATTGGTGGAAGAAGCTAAGAAACGAAGACTACTGGAGGACTCCGATTCGGAAGAAGATGATGCTGCTCCCGCCCCGCCCCAGCCTGCCCTTCGGTCCAACCCCACCGCCATCCTGGACGAGGCCCCGAAGGCAAAGAGGAAGGTGGAAAGCTGGGAGCGGAGCGTGGGCACCCTTGGCAGCAGGCCCCAGCTGTCAGGCCTCGTCGTGGTGAAGAAAACAGACCTGGATCGCAGCACTCCTCAAGGCCAGCGAGCACCCGCCCTGGACACTGTGAAGAACGGGAAACCTGCTGACCCTGCTCCCAGGACCTCCGGCGTCTCTTCCCTGAGCCAGCTTGGTGCATATTCCGACAGTGAGGACAGCAGTGGCAGCAACTGAGGTGTGTACCAAGTCAGGGGTCATATGTCCAGCTGCAGCCGGTAGTCAGAGCAAGGGGCCTTGACACCAACCAGAGCCAAGATCAAACATGAATGTCCTCGGAGGCTGGCTGGGCCAGCTAGGGCTTCACCTGAGGGACCCGGTTTCTCTCTTGTCTCAACCACAGCCCTTTGGGGCTTCGAAATCAGCTCATGCTGTTTCTGGCACCAGGTTTAGGGCTGCAACATCCCTGAAGGGATGCATCCTTTCTTGGACATTCCTTGACATGTCAGCTGTGCTTTGGGCTTGTGGGTGAGATCACCTATCCCCAGGTGGCTCTATCCCTTGACATGTCAGCTGTGCTTTGGGCTTGTGGGTGAGATCACCTATCCCCAGGTGGCTCTATCCCTTGACATGTCAGCCGTGTTTTGGGCTTGTGGGTGAGATCACCTATTCCCAGTTGGCTCTATCCCTTCCCTCCACGAATCTTCTGGAAGCAATGAAAGGAACCCACAAAAAAAAAAAAAAAGAGCTTAGGAACATTGCTGCCACCAGACATACTTCAAGGCAATTCAAATTTCAGGCCACATTAAAATCCTAGAATTGGGAATTATGTACATACAGTAACTACAAATGGAGTGGTGGGTAGAGAGCTGGTGACATCCTGGCACAAGTAGAAATACATTTTTCAGAAGATGGACTCTGAACTCCAGTCCAAGCTGCTGAGAAAACTCTTCTGCTGACTGTGTCTACCCAGATTGAACACTGGGATGCTGTGGGAGGGGCAGGAAACCATCTACCCCCATGGACTCTGCTAGCAGATTTATCACAATGAATCCCTTTTTGGACTTTTTAATATACCAAATAAGACTTAATCTGTTTATTAATAAAGTCTCATTAAGTAAATGTAAGGCTGGTCCCTATACCATTGGGTAGTAAAACTAATTTATTATTAAGCTCAGTGCACCTATGAGAATTGCACCGATGTGTCTGAAGAGAGGTTCTCTTTGACCATGTCACACTTTGTTAAAAGCAGTTTTAAGGTGTGTTAACCTCCACTAATATCTCTTTGGTATATGCTGATCTGCTGTTTTTCCACATAAAAATGACACTCTTTGAGCCCTGGTAATAGGCTAAGCATTGCTCATGAAACAGATGATTTAAAACATACCATCACATCTAAGTGAGTTGGAGAGTAAAATACCAAGACTATTTTGGTGATTAAATCGTAACAAAATAACATCTGGCATTTTGAGTGTCTTATTTTTTGTTCAGAGAATCTTTTATATTTTAGTGGGGATTGGTGGTGATAGATGGCATCACCCCTGGAATGGGGTCAGTCTGCTTCTCCCAATGTGCAGCAACGATCACATTGTGAAATTTTAATTTGTTGGCCTGTACCTTAATAGATGGAGAGTACACTTTTAGAAAAAGAGTAAAATTGGATTTCTTTTATAGAGAGAAAAACCAGCATAAGGATCAAGCTGGCTTTAAGCTATACACAACTGTAAACTTTGACAAAGTAGAAAGACTTGAAGGTTAACTCATTACTACATTACTGACATTAAATTCTGAAGATATTAATAGATTAGTGGACAGCAGTTGGTCTGCCTTCTAGAAGAGAGTTATATAAGGGGAGGATGGTTTCCAAGCCAATAAGCTATAGCTTCAGGGTATTATGGCATTATGGCTGTGACCTAGGACACTGAAGCCATTTCATTTGGCTCAACCTAGTTGGGCCACTTAACATGTGACCTTGTTTTATGTGCTTCATTCATTCAACAGATATTTATTAAGAAACTTCTCTGTGCCAGGCACTGTATTAAGTGTTGGGGATGCAACAGGGGACAAAATAGACAAAAATCCCTGTTCTTTCTGTGGGGTGTATTGGAAGATGTTTTTGGGGTGATGGTAATAGTTTCATAATCTGGATGCTGGTGAGTTGGATGGTGTTTGTAAAAATTCATTGAGCTGTATACACTATGTGCACTTCTCTGTATTTTACTTCAATATTTAAAAAAATCCATGGTCTTGTGGAGATCACAGCCATATTAAATGAGTTAAGCATGTAGAGTTATGTGCTTGCCACATAGTATGCATTCAAAAAAAAAAATGGCTTCTATTATTAATCCAGTGAAACTCCTTAAAGCAAACTAGGCCATTGGGATATTCAAGAGATTCAGCTAGCTCTGACACTAAGATTAGTACCCAGTCTTTCCATAAAAGTTAGGCATAGCCCATGCATCTGTTGTGAAAAATTTTTTTTTTTTCTCAAGATCAAAAAATAAGAGCAATTCTGTTAGCACTTGCAACTAAGTGATGTGAGGCTGCTGTGAACACTTGGATAGGTTGTGCACTGCACAAGGGCTCCATATTTAAGGGGTTGCCATTCATATCTCAAACTTCATGGGTTTGCATATTTATTATAATTTTCTGTCAGGAATTCTGGTGACTAAATGTCTTATTCTAACAAAACATATCAAAACAACTTTCAGACAGATGGAAATCAAAGGTGTCAAGAGCATCATTTTCTAACTGTCAAAACGATGCTGCATGGGAATACCACCCAGGGACTTGGAAATAACGAGAGGAGTTTGCCTTCTAGGAGCTGCCGTTGGAAACAAATACGCAGAAGCCCGACCCCTGAGACTTGACTATCTGGGCCTATGGTTATTTTAATCATCAAATCGGAACAAATTGGCTTTAGGGTTTGTTCATCGGCCTTTGTAGTTCTGGATGGAAGTCTCCAACAGAGATCCTCTGGCATTCTGACAAGTCGTGTTTCTGAGGACAAGACCTTGATAGTATGACTTCATTGAAGCCCTGCTCTCTCTTAGAAATTCCCTCCCGAGTTTCTCCTGGTGAAGTGGGGTCTAGCTGGCCTCATCTTAAGGACCTTGAGAGATGTTTGTTAAGCAGACAAGCTCCTAGGTCCCCAACCCAGCAAATCTGAGGTGGGCCCAAACAGCTGTATGTTTAACAAGCATTCTATATCCAGGTGAATGTAGGAAAACCATGTTATAATACGGTTTCTAATAAGAACTAAAATCAGGTTACCTTGAGCTCTCAGGCAGTTCCCTTACCTTATGGAAGGAAGGGGTGTGGGAAAGTGGGAGGCAATATTCAAGTTCAGAAAAGCTTGTATATGTATTGGGAGAGAAAAAAAAAAGAAAACTTGGGAAGCTGGAGCCTCCCTTTTGCCTTTTCTAAGCTGGGCCAGGGTCAAAGCTGCCTGCTGGAGCGGGTGGGTAGAGAGCTAGTGAGTGTGTAACATGCCTGACCCTTCTGGGGGCTGGGGGGAGGGAGAGAGCTATCATGGGACAGCCACAGGTCAAAGAGCAAAGTAGTCACAGTGCTGTCTGCCCTCTGGTCTGGGCCTGGGATTGGACCACTGGGCCAACACCCCAGTAATGGGACAGATCTTTGCCTCATCCTACTCTAAAGATCAATGAAGCTTTGAGGACAAATATAAGACAGGTACTGAAGTGCTATGGGTTAGGGTTAGTGACAGAATGGGGGAATCAGACTGGAAATCCATGGGGCTGCAAATAGTTCTCCAGCCCTGGGTTCCAGACCCACCCCCACCCCCAATCATTTCTTATGCTCAGAACAAAGTCCAGTTTGCAACACGAGTCTAGGCTGGAATCTCACAGCCCTTTTAACAGGGGGCAGTATCGGTCCTGGAAATGGGGCCATGGGAGGCTAGACGAAAAAAGTATCATCCTTCAAGGACCTGTTCTAAACCTCACGAGCCAGAAGATAAAAAACTTCCAGTTTGCTCTACTTTCTCTAGCCTTGGCTGCCCCCACTTGTTGGGGAACAGAAGACGGGCTGAGCCCAGGATATGTGGGAACCCTTCATCCCCCGTTGTTCAGACCTGAGCCTCTTCACCAGAAGCTGAAGAATCTGGGGCTCTTCAGCAGCGCATCCCCTACTACCAACTGGGCCCAGCACAGGAAGTGTGAGGGAGTCTGTGTGGGTGCTCAAAGGGGGCCTGGTGGGGGTGCAGCGCTGGAGAGACCTTCCAGCGTTCACTCTAAGCAGCAACAGCTGCTTCCTACTTTCCTTTTAAAAGAGGTGTGGTGCTGGGGGTGGGTTAAGACCAAGAAACCAAACCAATTCAATATGAATCACACTGCCAGTGCCAGGTATTGGGGGATGGCGTCCTGGAAGCTGTGGGGTAGTAGAGTCTGAAAGCTGTGGGGTAGTAGAGTCTGAGTGCCAGCTGTGGGGTAGTAGAGTCTGAGTGCCAGCTGTACAGTTATTAACAGCAGGACTTTGGGAACATCATTTGACTTGAGCCTCAGTTTCCTTTTCTACAAAATGGAGTTAATAGCGCTCACTCCTTGAGTGCATTGTAAGGGGTAAAATTAGAGCATTGTGAATAGTGCAGTTGTCATCGCTACTGCTACTGAATGCCCTGATCCCTGCCCTCAGGACAGGCTGGGCAGGTGCCTGAGTCCCACTCTTCCTCCCTAGAGACCAGCCTTCCTGTTCCTCCCTTGCTCCCAGAGAACATGGTATAACCAACTGTTGTTGGGGGATTGAAGTGTCCTGCCCTTCGGGCTCCAGGCACAACAGCTAAAAAGGGCAGAGTGATCAATCAGGTGTGGTCATCAGGGAGCAAGGTTCAAGAACAGGCAGGGCCAGATGGAGGTGAGAATGAGGAGCAGGGGCTGGTGGGGCTACCAGTAAACTTTACACAACAAACAGGAAGGCTTTGGAAGGGAGGGAGGGAGAGAGGGAATGAGGGCAGCCAAGTGTCCAGGGCACAAGTGAGGCTGCTCCAAGCTTGGGGAGCTCAGGGAGACCAAGGGCACTGTGCTGGGACTCGCCCCAAGGTGAGGGGCAGGGAAGAGCAATAAGGGGCTCCAGGCCCCTCTGAGGGGCTGAAGGTGACTCAGAAATCAGAACAAAGAAGGCCAAAAGGTTTTTACTCTGTGAGCCCTGGGGAGGGTCAGGCAGAGCACAAGGTGTCCACAGGAGGGGTGAGCAGAGAGGAGGAGCTGAGGCCTGCAGTCTTGCTTCCCTGTGAGGGGAAGAGTGAGAAGTAAAGGCCAGGCGTGCCCTTCACAAGGGCTTTGGAGGGCTCCAGTCTTGGGGCCCAGCTCTGACACCTGCCCCTCGAGTTCACAATGGAGTCCTCGGCAGTCCTCAAATCGCATGGCCTGCCTGAAGCTTTGCCAGGAGAAAAATGCTTGGCAGAAAGAAAAGGCTGGAGTGGGCTGACTGCAGCTGATCTGAGTTCTTCCCAGAGCTGTGGCTTTCCCCAACAGGAACACAGCTGAGGCAGGGAGGACCTGAGGCTGGAAGAGCTGTCTTTGCCTGCCAGAGCCCTGCCCAAGATTCTTCACCTTCCAGGTTGGGGTCTCCATCTCCGTCTCCGATCAGGAGATGCTGGGTTAAGCTCAAAGCTCATCCGGGGGGCTGTGTGTGAGGGGGGATGCCTTCTGGATGCCCTCATCCTCCTCGGGGCTGGGATCTCCCTCGAGGCCACCCAGCTCCTTTCTCTGTTTGCTGCCACCGCCACTTGAGGCCTTGGCCCTGCTGCTCTTCTTCTTGGACTTCTTTCCTCCCAGGGCGGCTGTGTCCCCCTTCTTGCCAGACCACTGCTCTGCCAGGCAACCTGGGGTGAGGAGAGATACCCTCAACAGAATGTTTTCCTGGCTGAGGAGTACTGATTGGGAAGCTGCTGAGAGTGGCAACTGGAACTGGTGCCTGACGTCCAAGTCCCTATCGCCCACCCCACTGTGGCCCCCAAGCCCCTTTGGGGGAATCTGAGTTCTGTGCATATTATTCTGCACCTGGTTTCAGTGCCTCTTACCCAACCTTGTCCCATCAAGCTCCCTGAGGGCAGAGATCCCACGACACCCTCTATTTCTTTTTGTCTTCTACCTACCCACCTCCCCTGAGGCGGGACAAACAATAAAATCTAGGGCTGCCCTGCCTTCTCCCTCCCTCAGACTCACTGGTGTCCTTGCCCTTCAGCACGTGGTTGGCGCAAAGGAATTGAGTCAGGTCCTCCTCCTGGTGGTTCCTGTACCAGTCCTCGATCACCTCCTCAAACTCTTCCACCAGCACGTCGCACTGTTAATTACAACATCCCACATTGGCAAAGCCCCAGCACTGACTGACTTCCAGAGCTCAACTGAGCTTCACAACCCACTGCAAGACAGGCAGGTGGCTGTGATTCTCCTGAGGAAACTGAAGCAGACAGGAGAAATGTCGTCAGCCCTTGGTGGCCTCCCACAGCCATAGACCCAATCCTCACCCACCCTTGTGGGGCACAGTAACCTCTGAAGGCTGAAGGGACTGTACCTGCTTCTTGAGGTCGGCCACCTCTGCAGAGGTCTCATTCCACAGCTCATAGGGGATGTCCATCACCACTTTGACCCCTTTGTGTACCAAGTTGTGAAGCGTCTCAAAAGTCTCTGACATGCCCTAGAAGAGGTGACCAGACATGAGAGGCAAAGTCCCTTCTCTACTTCCTGCCCTCCACTCCAGGTGGTGTTGGAGGCCCAAGGACTTAGCTTTGAGAAGTCAAGACCCTCTAAGCCTTCTCACACTTGACCTCACCTTCCTCTCCCATCTTTTAGGCTTGTCTCCTCCAACCCCTCTACACACATGCGTGCATACATGCGCATGCACACATGTATGCGCTCTCTCTCTCTCTCTATCTCTCTGTCCTGCCTCCCCACATCTCATCCTTTCCAAAAGGTCTGCTGTTGCCCTCAGGCCCTTTGAACATATACTCCTTTTCCAGGAAATGTCTTGGCTCTGCCCCATCACTATGGCTGGGCACACTCACTCCCCCACATCCAGGCCCAGTAACCTCTGATTCTTCCTTGGTGGAAAGAGGGCACAGGCAAGGTAGGAAGGGACTCTTCCATAAAAAATATTTCTTCCAGTTACCTAGGCTTCTTCCTGGAGACAACATACTATCTATTTCTTCTATTTTTCCAGAGATCGTGCATGCAAATACAAGCAAACAGACATACAAATATATCCTCTTCTTCTCCACCCCCACTTTTTACACGAGCAGTAATTTTCATACACACTACTCTGCACCTTGCCTTTTTTATTTAATAATACACCTTGGAGATAACTTTAGTTCAATTCATAAAGAGTTACCTCATTCTTTGTTTTCCAGTTGCTTAGTAGTCCACTGAAGGGCCACATTAGCGTGTTTCTAATTTTTTTGTTATGTAAAATTACTTTAAACATTTTCACATTAAAGCAAACATGGATTTATTACCAATTAGGGTACAAAATTCATACAAATTTTAAAGCTAAAATCTAAGACTTCTTGCTGCTTGAGACTGTCCCTCTAGGTTTCCCAGGGCTTTCTGACTGATTTCCTTTGCTAGGAGGGTACTTAGGTGGAGAAATGTGCCAGGCACGGAAAATAGAGAGACAAAGAAGTATGGGCCTTGTTGTAAGAAGTTCATTATCCAGGGAAAGAAGCCTTCATGCACATAGTAAGTGCCTTAAATGTCACCCAGATGGGAGGTCGAGGTAGGGGTCCTATGCGCCCAGAGGAGGGACAGGGCAATCACCACCTACATCCCCAAGAATCTTCTGACATCTCCTCTAAACCCTCACATTCTGACTTCTCCCTGTACAAGTACTTTAGGCTCCATGGAAGCTGTACCCTGGGGCATTTCTGTCTGTCTGAAACTGAGGCAGGACCTTATGCCATGGAAAAGTCAGACAACCCAGCAGGGGAGGAGTGTAAACAGCAATCCACAAAGAATGAGAAGAGGCCAAGAAGGGAAGCTCTCAGGGCAAATTGCACCCACTCCAGCAGATACCTTAACCACATGCAGGCCTGGCCCCAGCGGAGAGGAAGAACAAGCACAATCCTACCTTGGCAAACCGGTTGCTGCCAGTCCTCTCCTTGTGCAGGCTATAGTCCAGGAGCCTCTTGCAAATGGTCTCGGTGACTTCAATTAACCGTAAGTCCCTGCCAAGACAGCAGCACGAGAGGAACTGAGTTCCCTTCCTAGCCCCAAGGGACCAGTGGTCCGTCCCTCCAGCCCTGCTACCCAACACCTGCACATCTCACCAACGGGAAGTCAGAGCTGGAAGGAAGATAGGTCATCTGGTCTGGGGGCTCTGAAATGCTGGAACACAGACCAGAGAGACAAAATTTTAACAGCTCTATGGGAAGGAAATTTTTTATAAAGCTCAGTGATTTAGTAGATTGTTTTATAAAGCAAAATGTATTAGCTTTTGATGTGAAAATATCATTTCATTTTGAAAGGATGATACTAATTGATGTAAGGTTTTTTTCGGGGGGAGTGTTTTTAATATTTATATCTGGAAAAATTAAAGTTGGCAATCCTGTGTTACCAATATTTTAAAAAATTGCATTGGTCCATGACATCCAAGAGTCTGGGAATCACTGATAAGGTCCAAAAGTCTTGCTTTTACAGATAAGGAATTGAAGACCAGAGGAATTGAGGGATTTAGGAAGGTCACACGATTAGTTGTGGGTAGAACCAAGGGTAAAACTTAGGTCTCAGAGCTGCCTCCCTTTGGAGGGTTTGCCTGGCTGGAAGGAAGAGGAGAACTATAAGCCACTGAAGCCCCGAGAAACAAAGCAGGCCAGGACAGTGGGTCCCCCATTCACTTACGATTTGGTGTATTTGACTCCAGAGGCCTTCCTGTCCAGGATGCCATAGCCTGTGTCGATGACCTCTTTGGTCTTGCCAGTTTCCTCAAAGGCTGACTTCAACTCCACAGCGACATATTTACACACTGGAGAAGGGAGACAGCATAGTGTACTGAGTGCATGTGCCTTTGATGGCAGCCAGCTCCCAGCAAAACAGACCCAAGTGGACACCTTTCCCAGACTGGGTTAGTCAATGCTCAGGGCAGAGAAGAGGTTAGAACCAGATCACCAAATGGAGTTCTCTAGGTGAAATTTGGCTCCAAGATCCACAGCCCCATCTCCACTCTTGGCCATTATCTCACTGACTTCACTTCTCCAAGCTCCTTCCAGCTCCTACCCCCAACTCCTGCAATCATTTTACTTTAAAAAAATTTCAAACATACAGAAAGGCTGAAAAGCCGAAAGAGTACAATGAGTAACTATATACCTTCCATTCATATTCAAGAGTTGTTAGTGATTTACCACAACCTCTCTTCAATATATAGGACAATGTGATAATATAATAATTTACCTCAACATTAATACATTGTTTCTGCTAAACCATTTTGAAAGTAAGTTGCAAACATCATGATCTTTCACTCCTAAATATGTCATCACACATCTGAGAACAGGGATCCTTCTCTTACCTAACTTTAAAACAAATCTGATACTCAGAAACTTAACAATAATTCCAAGATCATCTAATACTTAGTCTGTATTGAAATTTCCCCAACTGTCCCCCAAATGTGTTTTATGGCTGTTTATCACTGGATTTCATATGTTGTGCCAACACCAGCTCTCTATTCCTGCCAAGTTAATTTGCTCGATACCCTCCGGAGGCCTTGTTTCTATTGTTTCTGTACATTTATTTCTTCATTTCCTCTTACTCTTCCTCAAATAGTTATTAAGCAACCCTATGTGTTAGGCACTGTCTGGGGATTCAGAAATGAAAACAAGATCCCTCCCTTCCAGATATATAAACACATAATTCTCACTGCATAAAGAATGCTGTCACTGAGGTGTGAAGTACCTGAGGCCTTAGGAAAGTGCTTACTGCCCTCTAGGGGCTTTGGGGCTTTTCTGCCCTTTCCCCCAACCTCTCATCTTAAAAGCCTCCTACCCCCAGGAAACCCATCTGGACTAATCCCACCTGCTCTTGATTTCATTCTAGGATCTAAAGGCTCTCACTAAGGCCCTTCGGTCATTTCTTGTATTTCTCCAATTAGGTAACAGAGTATCCAAAATGAGTATCATGTACGGGATTTTTTCTGTATTGCTCTAGTCTGGGACTCTACGTGTTGGATACGTGATAAATATTGCTGAGAGACTGTGTTTGTGGTTGAGCAGCTTCTGATGCCTCTGAATAGAACATGGTCTGCAGGCTAACTGCCATCAGCGTTGTTATAACACTGACAACAGAGTTTGGTAGAAAACCAATTTACCTCTAAAACAAATGCATCCCCTGGAGGCCTGCTTGGTGAAATTTTATAACATGCATTACTACATGGCTTAGAGAACTTGGAATACATGAAAAATTTTAAATATAAGCTGGTGATCTCAGAGTCTACAATGAATTGAGAGTGTCTCATCTCCCTGGCTCTCCATCCAGGACCACCTGGGCTCTCTCCCCTCTTCTGTTCCGTACTCTATGCAAGGTCATCATTTTTCTGGCTCCTCTGCTCCCTTCTCCCACGCCCTCAACATGCAGTATTCCAGGCCCAGGGGGTTCGAACCCATCAAGCCATCTCTCTTATACTCATTAACCACAACCTTGCTTCCTAACTCTTCCAAACATTACCTCCTCAAGAACCCCTCTGGAGATCCCACCCAGAACCAGACCTGGAGGGGACTCATGGCACAGACCCCAGACCTTCATGGACATCCACCCATTCTTTTTTCTGGGTGAGTTCTTCCTCTGTGCCAAGGCCCGTTCCACTCAGGCTACTAAACCAGAAGGCAGGCTTTGTGGGCCAGACACAGTAAGCATTTAATAACAAAGGTGTAACTACAATAAATAAAAGTAAATATACGCTCTTAAGAGAAGCCTAACGGATGGAGTTTGCCAAGCCATCCTGTGACTGAAAATCCCTTTTAAATTAATCTCTACCAATCACCTACAAAATGAGGTTGGACTAGAACAACCTCTTGCCAGCTCTATGCTTCTATAAGTCTGTGAATGCCTTTACAGAAAAGAAATGTGAGCTTCTTAGGCTATGAGACTAATGAGAGAAACAGTAGCGGCTCTTTAGTATCAGAATAAAATAGAAAACAGAGAAGAAGAAGTGAAACCCGCAAAGGATGTCAGTTAGGCCTAGAGAAATAGTGAATGGAAAGCATCATAATCCTCTGTCTATTCAGGGAAGCAAGGGAGAAAGTAGAGGCTGGAACTCATACTAGGAGACCTCTCAGTGAAGTCAGCCCATCTCTGAAGCATCTCACCTTTAATTTCTCAAATGGAAGGATTATGTGCCCTAAACCACCCCACCCCCACTTCCCAGTGCTTAGGGAACATCTGGCCTGCTGTAGGCTTTGAACTGTGATGAAATAAATTTATAGGAAACTTTCTGGAGGGCCTGGAGTTAGGGATGTGGGAAGGAAGTAGAGACTCTAAAGGTCTGAGGAGAAAACTGAGAAACAGAGGGGAGGAAGAAAAGCTGGGCCCTTCATAGCTCCGGATCACTGCTTTGTGTTCTGGCTCTTTTCTCTCTTCTCTCTTCTCCTCTCCTCCCCTTCCCTCCCTCTCTCTCTCTCTGAAGTTCCACACCTCTACCCTTATGTCTTTGGAATGCACTTTTTTTCTATACTCCTAAAATCTTCTTCCCTCATCAAGTTCTCCCAGGCTTTATTCTCCCAAAGTGACCCCACAGGCCTCAGGCCCTCCTCCTTCCTCCACATCCACCTACAGCCTCCCGTTTATTAATTTTTATTCCAAAAATATTTACTGGGCGCCTACCAGGCACTGTGTGAATAAATATCTGAGCTCACAGCTAGTGGGATAGGCGGTGAATTACACAAATTAGATTGCAGTGAGGGCACAAAGGGGAGAGTCTCAGGTTCTTCTTCCCTTCTGACTAGTCATATGAATCTTTTCAGTTCCTCAAACCTGGCCTTTGCTTCTCAGCCTGTAGGCCTCTGCATCTGTGGGACCTTCTCTTTTTATTTCTCTTCACCTGGCCGACTCCTAATTACTCTTCGGCTTCCTATCCGAAGTCTTTCCTGACTTTCCTCTACACTTGGCCTTTCGTCCCATCTTTAGGCTGGACTAGATGCTCCTCACTCGACTTCCAAAACTCTGTAGCTCCTACATCACTGCATCTACTACCCTGGAAGATAACTGCTTGTTTTTACTTCTTTGTGAACTCTAGGTGCACCGAGACCTGATCTCTCGCCCGCCCAGCGTCCCTCATAGAGCCAAGCACACAGTAGGTTCAAGGAAGAGTCTCACTGAGGAGCCCAGGACCCTGGACCCGCAGATTCTTCTCTGTAAGCCCCACCCCTCCAACAGAATACTCCTGTGGGCCCCGCCCCCTCACCTTCGCATTTGCTAGGCAGGCGAACCCAGTCAGTCTCCTCGGCGTGGACCCGGCTCAGGCCCAGCTCCGGGGTCGGCTGCAGCAGCAGCAGCAGCAGCAGCAAGGGAAGCAGCAGAAGCCAGCGGGGCCTGCGCCGGGACACGGGCTCAGGGAATGGCTCCATGGCCCAGCCAGACCCGACCCAAGCAGACCCGGCTGCGTTTCCTCCCGCTGCGCGCGCTGGGCAGCTTCCCAGAGCAGCTTCCGGGACTGCACACGTGCCTCGGCGTAACCCGGGCAACAGCGAGCCCCCGGCCCTCTCCTTCCTCCCGCTGCCTGGGCCCGCCCCCAGAGCCCATGGAGGCCCGCGGACTGCGCAGCCAATAGGGGTTCGCCTTCTAGCGAATGAGCGGACGACCTTTTTTTCAGCCTCAACATATGAGAGAGCGGATGGTGGCTTCAGTGACCAATGGGAACATCTTTTCCCACCCCCTCAAGGAGGACCAGGACCAGGGGAGCGGAACAGCCAGCTGGGCTTGAGTGGTTCAGGTCCGGCGCGCTGATCCTGGAATAGGTGTGAAAGGCCGTCATCACTGCCTTCTTCGCCTCCTTGCACGTCATTTCCCTCCTGGGGTCATAATACAGCAAGCTCTTACGGAGCTCCTGTTTTTTCAATTTTATTATTATTGCTATTGTTTTAATTGCCAGCCACTCTAGTAGGTTCTATGAGACCAGGGTGAGACCAGGACGCCAACAGTCCCCAGCCTTTAAACAGCTTTCTTAGTTCCCAGTAACCCTAGATTTGTCCCAGTGACAACGAGAGCATCTCCTCTCTGAGCCTCAGTTTCTATCTGAATGACTAAGTGATCCTCTTAGCTGCTATTTGAGGCTTTCCTGTTGCTGGAAAGCTCAAGGAGGTAATGGAATTAAAGCTTATCGAGTGGATTGTAAAAAGTTCATCTTTTTTTTTTTTTTTTTTTTTAGTGTGTAACCTCAGTCCTTCTTACTGCCCTATTATTTATTTCTTTGGATTCTGAGCTCCCAGAAGGCAGGTATTTGATTGATTTATTTAGGCCCAGGAGCCCTCCTGGGAAATAATGTTAAGCCAGCTTCAGTGGGGGTTCAGAGTCTGGAGCATGGCAGGGTCGGGGGAATTGGGGCAAGATGGGGTGGGATGTTGAAGCTAAGGGAAGCTGTACTTCCAGAATGAGAAGACATTTACCGAGGCAAGAATTAGTTTGGCAGGAGCCCTGGGCTCAGCATCTTGGCTGAGAGCTGGGAAGGGACAGTAACTGAAGGAAGTCTGAGGCTATGGCTGGACATGCTCCACCCTGACCCAGCCTACCTCTTCCTCTGTCTGTGTGTTGAGGAAGGAGCAGGCCCTGTGGGGATGGTGGATGATTCATCCCCAGAAGTTGTAGAACTCTCTCCATCCCAAAGAATCCAAAAAAAAGAGGTGGAGAATCTTCTTACGGGTCGGTGAGAGATGGGCAGTAGAAGAGACAGTGATGGTTTTCATCGACCAGCCCCTGAGAGGGCACAAGGAAGCTGGAGAGGTCGTTGACACCATATTAGGGGGAGGGGAGAAATGTTAGGCATAGTTCCCTACCACCACCTCGGAGGAAGGAAGACCAAGGTAGCACCATTGATCCAATAGACTGTCCTGTGCTGCCCAGAGGACATCTAGGTTCACATAAAAACACGCAGAAATTCTTGGAGTGATTACTGAGAGGAACCCCTGGGAATGGCTGGATTTCCTACCAGCTCTGGAGAAACGAGACACACCGGTTACACTCCATCATGGAAACCTCATATTCTATCCATACAAGAACCTTCTTTAGGAAACAAAACAAAACAAACCTCTTTAGTGCCTGGCTCAGAGTTGATGCTCAGTGACTATTTGTCAAATGACTAATGACCCTTAATTGATTAATAACATGTAAGTTTGGAATTACCATACATGCTCTTGGCATTGGACATAATCCTGGCCCTGTTCACTTCCGTTGAGTCTGTACAAGACTTCTCCTCAGGCCTAGCATCCCACTTTACTGGGTTCCTGGGCTCCTTGTCCTGACCTCTCACAGAGGTCAGGGCCAGGATGAGGAGACAGAGAAGGGGCCTTGCCCCATGTCCAGCTATTGGGTAAGGTGGACAGTGTCCTCCCCAACTCCCAGCCCCACTCTGCAATTCCCAGTTTCACCCTCAGGAAGCCCTCTTCCTCCGGGAAGCCTTCCCAGATCTCTGCCTCCTCTAAATCTGCCAAATTCCCTTGGCCCAGAGGAGACATGAATTAAAATATTTTTTATTTGCTTATGTCATTGAAGTTCTCCCTTAATTGCACCTCAAATATCCCAGTGCCTGGGTCAATTACCACCCTCAAGTGGCTCCCAGTCTGTTGGGAGAGACGCAGCTTTTTCCCTCAGAAAACCCTTAGCTGGAGTTGGGGAGACAAAGCCCAAAACTCAGGAAGCTCCGATCTGCAGGAGGAGGCAGATCACATACAAATGCTCCAAGGCTGGAAGCTGGGATATTGAGGGCAGGTCCAGAACACCAGGTCCAAACTGGCCCTGTAGGGAGCGTCCCCTCCTCCCAGACTGGGCTCCTAGGATTCGGACCGGGACAGCGGGTGTGAACTCTGCAGGTGGCCCGGGGCTGCAGCATCGGCGGGGCAGACCGGATGAGCCCTCGGCCTGTGGTGCTCGCCTCACTGCGGCGACTCCAGTCGGTGGGGTTGGAGGGCTCTCCTATCGGCAAAGGCTGCGGGCCCGTGAGCGGGGCGGGGAGCCGGGGATCCCCCGGGCCAGGCGCTCGGGACAGACTCCCCCGCACAGCGGGCAGGGCGCGGAGGCGGCTGCAAGTCAGAAGCACGTCAAACAGCAAAAGCTTGAAGAGCAATAGGCGCAGCGCCCCCAGCCGCAGCGCCTGGCCTGGCGTCTCTGCTAGAGGAGAAAGGAGTGAGTTAGGGACCCCGAGGCTGACCCTCAGCCCCCGACCCCCAAGAGAATGTTCCCTCAGCCCTTGCCATTCCTTCTGCCTTTCGTCCCCCAAATCCTGGGAAAGTCCTTCCTAGTATTTAACCTAAGCTCTTACTGGTAATAATAACAAACACCTGTCTAACCTTCATTTTATTTTATTCCCCAACAACCAGGGGGATGTAGACCAGGCAAGAATCTGCATGGGATGCAGAGGAGAGTAACAAGCTCAAAATTCTCTATTTGGTCAGGAAGAGAACCGGACTGGTTGGTGACTCTCTGTCCAGCAGTTGATGAGACTTTCCACCACCCAGTCTCCCCCGAGACTCCCCAGGATCTGATGTGGAGACTGTCTATCTGGGCTGCCCAAGGAGAACTTCAAGGACCCTTTCGTTAACTTTCACCTGCACATCTCAACTGGTGTCCAGGAACTAGGCTGGGGTCAGAGGATCTATCCCCATCTTATCCACTGGCAGACAGAGGCCTAGGGTCCAGTGCACCAACGCAGCAAGGCAGCCTCTTCAGGAGACACCCACCAACCCCCCGGTAGGACCCATCAGGCCACAGCCCAACAGGGCCTAAGGTGTTGGTCCCCAGTACTCACCCCTGAGAGGCTCCCAGAGGCAGGTCCTGGCTGAGGAAGTCTCTCCTGCCCGCCAAGGAGAAGGTAGTGAGATTTGGGATGGGCTGTGCCCTTTACCCCAGTGCTATTCCCTAGCCCTGGCACAGGGCAGCTATTCATGCCATGTTGGAAATAAGGACAAATGAACCAGTAGTGGGAACCCTGAGCCCATTTGCTGCAAGTCTCCAAGGGATCCAGATCTCCCTAACGCCCTGCTGTTCCCTATTCTGTGCCCTGGAGAGACTGAGGTGCCTCAGCACTTTTAGACAAGGAATCAATTCTCTTAGCAGCCTTCTTTGGAAGGTAGGGCATTTGTTCAATGAAAATTCCCATTTGGAAGGTGATAAAACTGACATAATCCAAAAAGAGGAAGTAAGTCATCTGATCAGTAATAATAATAACCAACTTTGGACATATTACTTAACCCTTCTGTGCCTATAAAGCGAGAGAAATAATATGACCTACTTCATAAATATGAAGTGTTTATAACAGCGCCTGGCACAGAGTAAACACTGAATAAGTAAGTGATAGCAATTTATTATTTTATTATTGTTTGGTTCTAATAGGTAGAGTGTCATATATAAGGTGATATATATAGATACGGATAGTAATCCTAGGTATATATATAGAGATATTAGCCTTGGTATGATAGGGTTAATATATATACCTTGATGTACATATATATATATATGTGTGTGTGTGTGTGTGTGTGTGTGTGTGTATCTCAACCCTAGGAGGGAACAGGCATTATTACATCTTGGAAGTCATGCATCAGAGCCTGGATATGAGTGAGATATCATAGTTGCAAATCCCAGGATTCAGGGCCCTGAGGCCACCCTGCTCTGAGCCCAGGCATCACTTCATCTAGATGGTTGGTACTTGGATACCCTTTATGCTCCATGGCCTGGGCCTGTCTTCCCTCTCACCATATTCTGGTTTCTGGGTATGTGAAAGGGACAGGGGGCATCCAAAGGGCCTCAGGCTCTGTCCCCACCTGACAGTTGTAGAGGCTGTGTGCTCTGGCTGGAGTCCCCAGTCCCAGGCCCGGTGTGGCAGACCAAGTTCTCCCAGGCTTCCAGCTCCTCAGAAGGCAGGGATAGTTGGGCCAAGCTAGTCCAGGTGCCGTCCGCTGCTGGGGAAGGGCCATAGGTGAAGGCGTCCAGTGCACTGCCATTGCCAGCTGAGAACCAGATGGGGCTCTCAAGGCCAGGGGGTGCAACATCAAGGACCAGGCAGACCACCAATGTCTGCTGCTTCCCATCCACCAGCAGTGTGATTGGTGGGGCCAGAGAGGGGAAGGGTGTGCTGCCCACACCTGCAAGAGAGCACACACCTGTGGGGGACTAGATCTGTCCATGCCCTCCCAGGCCACCATCTCGTTGTAGGCTTCTATGTTTCCACATATCCTTCCATCATCCATCTATCTATCATTCTATCCATCCCTCTCTCCTTGCATCTACCCATCTAACCACTATTCCTTCCCTCAATCCTTTCATTCATGCATCTATTCATCAATTCTTCTATCATCCATCTTTCCTACATCTCTTCTCTCTACCTTCCATCTGTATGTCCATTCATCCATCCATCCTTCCACCACCTGTCTGTCATATCTGTCTGAAACTTTCTGTGCAGGAACTGGGGATATAACATTAATTAAGAGATTGTGCCTGCTTTTAAGGAACTCAGTGCCATGGGAAAGACAGCAAATGCATAAATTAATACTTATAATACCTTGTTGTGCCAGTCTCAGGAGAGTGGTTGCCTCTGGGGAGAAAGAGAAGGAAATAGGATCTGAAATGAGAATAAAGTGGGCTTCAAATGTATCTGTAACTTTCTGTTTCTTTAAAAAAATATCTGACTAGAATATGGCAATATTTTAGCCATTTGTTAATCTGAGTGGAGTATACATGGGTGTTTGTAGTATTATTCTAGATTTTTTTCTGTAAGTCTGTAGTATTTTTTAACAGCTTTGTTTAGCAATAATTCATGTACCATACAGTCGACCCATTTAAAGTATATGCCTGTACTATTTCATAAAAAAAAAAGTCATATGGGTACTACAAACATCTGTCCTATATTTTCCAGAATAGTCCTTATTTTCCACAATCTTATTCTTTGCAGTAAAGATGACTCACTTAATATGTAACAAAATATTATTTTTGAATAGTTGGATACTTTTTCCATATAAATGAAATCTCAAAGGCTAAAACCTCCAATCAAATTCACAGCATGAGTGAAGAGCAGCCAGGCTAAAGAAATGTCCCAGGGTGCAGGGATGTGGGAATCTTGTGGGGACGAAGGAGCGTGGGGTGTAGGCTGCTCGGGAAAGATTTATTGAAGGTCACATAGCTGACCTAGTAGCATGTGAATGCGAAGTAGCCCACTCAGGATTTGAACTCAGATCTCTGTGACTCTAAATGCCACAGACCACACCCCCTGGAAGTTATGACTAAGGTTTTGCTACATGACCCAGTGGACCAAGTCTGGGCCCTGGCCTTCGACAGACTTGCTTTGACTCCTACTTCATCCATTTAATTTACTGAGTCCCAATTGTCCCATTAGTATAATGGGGTTAATAACACCAGCCCCATAAAATTGTTGTGAAGAATAGAGTTCATGAATGTAAAACACCAGTGCACATAAGTATCAGTATTATTATCAATACTAATATTAATATGGCATTGCAAACAAAAGGAGCAGAGAAGACTGGGAATGAGCTCCAGGAACCTCAACCTCCCGAGTCTTTTCAGTTATAGAGAGAGAGACACTCTCCAAGTTAAGTTCAACATCTACCTCCTCCACGAAGCTTTCCGAATTACTCCCTCTCACCCTGGCTGCTTCCTTCCCAGAGCTCAGGCCTCCTGTCATGGGCATTCCCTGCTTCATATGGGTGTGGTTTATCTCCCTAGCAAGGGGGAGCTGGCAACACTCTGGGGGCCAGCTTTAGACCAAGGAGATGCCCTGACTCAAAGGTCAAGGACTTTCCCCTACCACACACATGCAAATGTGCACATGCTTCTAGATGAAACTGGAGTTCTCAAAACGCTAGTCCTTTGGCTCTAGACTTGATCCCTGGAAGACTAGGGGTAAGTACACCTGGAAAATCATTGAAGTCTTGGGACTTCTCTTGGGAGCCCATTGATAAGGGGTAGCTGGGAGTGAACATGAGACATGAGCCCTGTTGGAACTGGGCACCTTGAGGGCAGAATACTGGGAAAGGAAGGACAGGAGAAGACTTCACAATGTTTCCCATGCCCCATATCACATAATACAGCCCCAGCTACACCACCCCACTCCCATGGACACGCACCCAGATTGCTCTTGTTTCTCTATACCTCCAAGAGGTGACTGTCCTCCCTACCAACACTGTGGACTCCAGGAGAGGAGGACTTGGGGCCCCAGTAGCTGGGCGATAGAGTACAATAGGGAAGGGATGATGGCCTTCTGGTGAGACTCTCCCCAGGGGGCCCCAAAGTGCCTCTGTCCTTCATTCCTGCATCCCATCCACACACAGGGAGCCCAGATTAAGGGAATAGGTTTGGGCTGACTAATTGGGGTACAGAGGGGGATACAGAGAGGGAGCTCACCTGTGGGCAGGGCTGGACACCCGAGGGCCAGGAGAAGCAGCAGCCAAGTCCCGGCCATGGCCCACCTGAGAGGAGGCAGGACACAGCTGCAGACCTGATGTGTGGGCTGTTGGAGGAGGCACCCACAAGAGTGTCTTCCAGGCCACAGGCCCAGCTGCACCTCAGCTGCTCCACCACGAAGCCGTTTCCCCGGGTGAGGGGCCCCTTCCACCCAACCCTGGCCTCCAAACCCAATCCTCTCTCACAGGGCCAGGGAACTCAGGGTGGCACTCCCACGGCAGGAGCCGGATGCCCACACTCCCTCTTATCTGAAGAGCACTTCACAGTGCAAAGCCTTTTCCCAGTCACTAGCCCTGCTGTCTATAGGATACAGAGCATGAGGTAGTATGTCAGGTGCTTAATATACAGCGCTCATTCCATCCACCCAACTACTGTGAGCTTCATTTCACAAGTGAGACAACTGAAGCTGAAAGAGATTGAGTGACCTGCCCAAGGCCACACAACTGGCAGGTGGCAGAGCCAGGGCCAGCTGTTTCCTGATGGCTGGCTTTACTATAGCCAAAAAACCCAATAAACTTATTTCCATGTTGTTACACCCGCTCCTTTTAAATAGCATTTATTTTTTAGAGCAGTTTCAGGTTTACAGCAAAATTGAACAGAAGGTTCAGAGATTTCCCATATAATCCCTGCACTGTCACATAAAACTCCTTATTTTAAAAAATAAATTAATAAACTTTTTATAAATGCCATTTTCAGTGACTCTGCTAAATTTTAGCTAGTTGTCATTTTGACCCTGAAACTTCCCATCTAAGTATACACACTAATGAAATAATAAGAGATTCAGTCAATGTAAGACAAAGATTTATGCACAAACATGTTCTTTGAAGTATTATATTTAAAAAGAACAGTTGGAAACAATATAGTTATTCAGTGCTAGAGAAAAGGTTAAATGAATTCATGTTTGGTGTATGAATACTGTGCAGCAACTTTTTAAATCATGTTTTCAAAGAATGTTTAATGACATGGGCTAGAGAATAAAGTTTGATTCAGAGTGTGGGCTGTGAAGGCAGAACGCCTGTCTTCCAATCCTGATTACATCATTCAGGAGTTGTGTGACTTTCACCAAATTACTTACTTCTCTAACCCTCAATCTGCTCATCTGTACAATGGGAATAATAATACCTCAAGATAATGCATGAAGAAGGTTTAGCACCATTCTTATACAGCAACATGTCTTCAAATAATATTGTTTTGTTATATTGTTGATTAGAAAACAATATCGATTCCTTGCCAGGGCTACATGTGTGGATGTTCTCCTCATGTCTGGATGGGTTTTATCAGAATACTCCAGTTTTCTCCCACATCCCAAAGATGGGCACGAGAGGTGAATTGGCACATCTACATTGTCCCAGTCTATGTGAATGTTCGTGTGAGTGAGTGCCCTGCCCTGTGATGGAAGAGTGTCCTGTCCAGGGTGGGTTTTGGCATTGCCCGCTGCGCTGCTGGGATAGGCTCTGGTCACCAGCGATTTTGAACTTGAAGAAGCGGGTTGGAAATAAATGAAAATTATTTTTTTAAATCAATCTTTCTTAAATTTATGTATAATTCATATTTATTCCAATGTTTAATATTAGAAATGTTTTGGGTATTAGAAATGTTATTTAGAAGTTCGGTGATGTTTTTGTGATGGGAAATATGACATAGGAACTAAACTCTTGTTTATATCAATTAGCCTATCTATTAAGATTGAGAATTTTCTGTACATAATAATAAGTCATAAATATTCTCTTTTTTTATGTGTGTGTATACATAGTTACATACACAGAAAGTTTAAGCAAACAGGATACAAATATAAATAGAAAACACATATCCAATTTTGTAACTATTCCTCAAAGGAAGATGATCAAATGTTAACAATGTTTGTCTCTGTATGTTAGGATTTTGGATTGTTTTCATTTTCATCTTTATAAAAATTGTTTATTTCTCAAATTTTCTATAATGAATTTGTATTATTTTAAAAATAGGGAAAATAAACATTATTTAAAAATAAAACTACAAATGTACTATTGCTTATGTAGCTATTCTTTTATCGTTAGACGTTTGGGTTTTCTAGTTTGAGAGAATGGGTATCTTGTTCATAAAATATTTTCCAAACTCATACTTATTTCCTTAAAATTATTGGCCTAAAGGCCTGATTTTTTTTTTGTTAAACTTTAAAAATTTTTAATTGTAGTAAAGTACACATAACATAAAATTTACCGTCCTAATAATTTTTAAGCGTGAAGTTCAGTGGTATTAAGTACATTCCCATTGTTGTGCAATCATCGCCACCACCCATCTCCAGAATTCTTTTCATCTTGCAAAACTGAAACTCTGTACCCATTAAACACTGACTCTCCGTTCTTCCTCCCAGTCCCCCTTCCCCTTGCCCAGCCCCAGGCAACCACCACTCTATTTTCTGTCTCTGTAAATTTCTGTCTCATGAAAGTGGAATCATGCAGAATTTGTCTTTTTTGTGCCTAGCTTATTTCACTCAGCATAACATCCTCAAGGTTCATCATCCATGTTGTAGCCTATGTCAGAATTTCCTTCCTTTTTTAATGGTGAATAATATTCCATTTTATGTATACACTACATTTTGCTTCTTATCCATTCATCTCTCAATGGACATCCTTCAATGACTGCTTGCATGCTTTAGCTCTTGTGAATAATGCCATTGTGAACATGGGTGTATATCCGTTCAAGTTCCTGCTTTCCGTTCTTTTGTGTATATATCCAAAAATGGAATTGCTGGGTCATATAACTTAATTTTTGATTTTAACTTGACAGTGGCCATCCTAGCAGTTTGTGAAGTGGTATCTCACTGTGGTTTCAATTTGCATTTCCCTAATGGTTAGTGATGTTGAGCATCTAAAGCTTCTGTATTTTAAGACTCCCTGATACACATCTGTTGTACTAATTTATATTCCACCACAATGAATGAAAGTCTCACTTCATCCCCACCAGCATTTGGCATTTCTTAAAAAAAAAAGAAAAAAACCGAATCAAATCAATTTAAATGATATATCATTTCTCTAATCGCATTATTTTACCACTTAGTTTCCTTCACTGTATTGTCTGTTTATTGTACTCCTGTAGTCCTAGTGTCTTTGTAAGAGCTTTTGCATATTAAAGATACCAGCCCTTTGTATATTGCACTTGGTTGGAGCACTTTCCCAATTCACCGACTTTTATTTTCACTTTTTTTAACCTTCAGTTCTGTTTTGTTTTGTTTTGTGTGAACCAACATATCCATCTTCGCTATTGGGATTTATCTCCTTTTTGAGCCTAGAAAGTCCTCCCCACCTCTAGAGAATCAATATATTTTCACTTCTACTGTCTTTTTGTGCCTGTGTAGTTTAATCCCCGCCCCCTCCAATTCAACTCTATCAGGAATTAATTGTGATGTATGATAGAAGATGTGCATCTAAATTTCTTCCCCCGCCACCAAAGAGCTCATCAATTATCCCAGAATTGTTAATCCAATAATACATCCTGTCCCTATTATTTGAGAAACATTCTTTATTACATGTTACTGTCTTTTACTTTAAAGGGTTCATGTCTTCCTGGCTCTCTGATTTCTTTATCGTGGTGCCAGCTTCACTCAATTTCCCTTTGATTATTTTAATAATTCAACCATGATTATTTTTAATAATCATGTCGATTGCATTTTCTGATGTCCTGAGGGAACCCCCTCCAGCTCCGCTCCGGTCCCCTTTTCCGCAGGGCAGCCTGGAGGCCTTGGGTGCCATGTGTTCCCAGGCTCTACCCCAGCCCAGGTGCACTCTGTCACCGTGGGTTCCCGCCAGGAGGGAGAGAGAAGGAGACAGGTGTCCCTAACGACTCTCCCGCCCTCCAGCCTGGGGAGGTGCTGGCCCGGGCTCCGTAACCACATTACAGATGGCTTCTTTTGGGTTTCAAGACTTTTCCAGAGAGAGGAAGGTGGAAGAACCCCTTGCCACCAGCCACCTCCCTTGCCTACTGCTCTCTTGGGCCACCTCTCGCTGCTATAGGAATCCTCCCAGGGGCCCAGTCCTAGCTGCCTGGCCACAGGTCTTCCTGGGAGCTTTCTTTGCCCACTCTCACATGGGTTCCCTCCTTCCAGACAGTCCCAGCTGGTCCTAACAATGCCTTTTCCCAGGGCAGAAAAGATGATTTGATATGCTGGCCTGAGATCCCCGAGCTGAATATCTTCGCTGACCTCCTACTTGAGATTGGACCTGCCATTTGCGGACCCACTTCTGAGAGCCAGGCTGCATTCACAGACATCTCATTTAGTCCGCAAAACCACCCACCCCAACAAGTACAAATCTCATCCCTGTTTTACAGTGGAGGAAACTGAGGCTCAGATAAACTAGATTACATCGCTGGAAATTCTGTAGCAGGCAAGTGGTGGAGCCGGGAGTTCATTACAGGGATCTGTTTACATGTCTGTCGCCCTCCAAAACTCCTTTCACATGGGTTTTTGTTTTTTTTTTTGAGAATTAAATTAAATATGAATACTCATCTGAGTGCCTGGTACAGAGACGATTATCCCTCTTCCCCGTTTTTTCATCTGCTCAGATAGAAAACCGAGGGCCCTTGTTAATCTGAGGTGAGGAACATAGGATGTGAAAAATAAAAAAAGTAGCAGTGCTTATTAGAGAAGATTGCTGATATTACCAAATCATTACTGCACGTACATCTGACATATACAATTAGAAGATTGTAACCAGAGGGGCAAGCAGCAGTTCAGCATGTGTGTGGGCTGAAATATCAATAAGTTTCTTTCAGTCACACTGACAGGTGCACCTATTCATTGATCAAATAAAAACCCTACAATGTTATTTATAATTTCAAAAATCACCTAACTGTTCAATGATAAGGAAATATATAAATAAACTAAGATGCAGCTACATGATGAAATATTATGTGGGCCTTAAAACGAGCTTTTATTCATACCCATTCATTGGTCTGTTTTATGCCAGGAATAGAAGCTGGGGACAAGACTGAAAATGCTGCTCCCTGAAGTCAAGGATGGAGACAAGCTCATAAACAGGTAAGGAACTTGAGTGATGTCTCGGCTGAAATGCGCGCGCGCGCGTGTGTGTGTGTGTGTG